CACCAAAAAAAACAAACAAACCCAGAAAATAACAAGTGTTGGTGAAGATGTGAAAAACTGAAACCCTTATGCACTCTTGGTGGCATTGTAAAATGGTACAGTGACTATGGAAAAGAGTGTGGTGGTTCCCCAAAACACTAAAAATAGAGTTATCATATGATCCAGAAATCCCACTTCTGGGTAAATATCCAAAATAATTCAAAAGCAGGATTTAGAAGAAATATTTGTACACCCATGTTCATTGCAGAATTATTCATAATAGCAAAGAGGTGGAAGCAACCCAAGTGTCTGTCCATCACCCCAAGTGTCTGTCCATCAACAGATGAATGGATAAAGAATATGTGGTACATACATATATACAATGGAATATTATTCAGCCTTAAAAAAGAAGGAAACCCTGTTACATGCTATATCATGAACAAGCCTCAAGGACATTATGCTACGTAAAATAAGCCAGTCACAAAAAGACAAACACTGCATGATTTCACTTATATGAGGTAACTGAAGTAGACAAACTCTTAGAAACAGAAAGTAGAAAGCTGGTTCCCAAGCCTGGGGCAAGGGAAAAGGAAGTTGCTGCTCAATGGATATAGAGTTTCAGTTTTACAAAATGAAAAAGTTCTAGAGATCTGTTGCATAACAATGTACATATAGATAACACTACTGTACCATGCACTTAAAAATGGTTATGACGATAAATTTTGTTATATGTTTTTGACCATAATGAAAAAAAAAAGATAAGGAGATTTCCAGTACAAGATGTCCTATGGTAAGAAGTCTCAGAACTCCTATGAAGTTAAAAACTGTATTTAGAAAATCAGCACTGGTTCTAGTGGATACTTAACAATAGCCTTCACTGAAATGATGCTATGTACACATGGAGTCATAAATGTAAAAGAAAGAAAGTGTTCTTGAAGGGGGTGGTTTTCAAGTTGGATGTTGAAATAAGTAGGGCTTCCATTGGCAGAAGGGTCGGGGAAGAGAAAGCAGGGTGTGTTTGCAAGGCAAGTAAACTGGTATGGCTTGTGGCAAGGTGAGTGGAGGTGGGAGGGGTGGCCTGTAGAGGGACAGCAGGTGGAAAAAGCGCAAAAGGGGCCAATATGTGGAGGGTTTTAAACCTTAAGAGAGATGAGAGTTCATGTGGTTGGGCAGGGGCAGGTGGAGATCAGGTCTTGCAGGGGAGAGAAATCGGGGAAGGACGGGCCGTGGGGAGGCACACGTGTTGGAGCTGAGGATGGGACAAAGCGGAGTCTGATGAAGGCAGAGTGAGTACGTGAGAGCCCAGCCAGCAGTGCTGAGCCCTAGCACAGCGGCTCTCCCTGGTGGGCGATCAGATTCACCTGCAGCCAGGCTGATCACGCGCGACCTTCCCTTGAACCCCGTCAGGAAATCACTGCGAAATCCCTCATCCCCATAAATTAAAGACAACCACGGTAGCAACGACAGATTGGGGGCAAACAACAGTGGCCTCACAGCTGTCCCTGCCAGCAGGGGTCTTTAACACCCACCGGCCCCCGGGGCTGGGAGTGGTTGGGTGAGATAACATCACACTGGTCTCCTAAATCAGTTTTGTGCTGTGAACCAACAGAAGGTCTCAGGGTGGGGGGCCAGGGATCCCCACTTTCCTGATCATTTACTTGAGCAAATCAGCTCCACTTCCAGTGGGAGTGAAGGGGGAGCAGTTGGGGCTGGCAGAGGAAGGAGAGGGGAAAGCATAGAACGTTCCTCTTGAAACACACTTTTAGTAAATTTCTGTTACCGATGCCTCCTTGGGCAGCCAGTATGGGGCACATTCAACAGGCACAACTCACCCCCAACCTCCCCAGCAGATCTCTGAGCTCCAAGCTCCTAATTGATGACAATTGGATTTTAGGACCAGCAATGATTGCAAGTTCTCATGCCTTATATTTCAGACTCAGGAATTTCTGAGACAATGTATTTGAAATATTCAATTCCATTGACCCCATAAATATAGGGAGGTTTGCTAGACTCTTATGTTCTGAAGGCTGGTTCTGTAAATATGGACTTAATGCCTTTCATAACTGCTATTTATTGACCTCACGGGCCAGGCACAATGTTAATCTTGTGGGTCACTGCATTTACCCTTCACAGAGATTCTATAGAGAAAGTGCTATTGCTATAGTTTCATTTTACAGCTGGGGAAACTGAGGCTACAAGAAGTTGAGAATTTCCCTAAAGTCATGAACCCAAAAGTTACAGTGCTGACACTGCAACCTGTCTGCTTGACTGTGAAGCACTAAAAAAAACCACATTTCTGATCAATACTAGTTAACCTTCCAGAGATGGCTTAGCAGGGGCCAGGGTGAGGCGTGTAAGGCACTCATGTTGAGCACAAAATGCAAGGGGCGCCTAAATCCCCAGTAATCAAGAGAAATAATATTTTAATGTAATGTTTTTAAAAATTGAAATTAATGCAAAAAGATCAATGATGAATAAAATGTTAACATTTTAAATAAGAGAGTATCCAACCAGTGACTCAGGATTGGTTGGATGGAGAGGGGGTCCTTTGTGGGTTTGTCTCTTGTGAGTAGATAACTGGAGTGGGTTGTGAGCCTTGCCCACCGCCTTCTCCTTTCTTTAGGCTCTTAAAAGTTGATCTTTCCTCTTTCCTTCCCCTCCAGTTAAATTCCCGAGGAAGACTCAGGCAACTAACAGGGAGGTAAAGATTTCCGTGCTGAACAGAGAGAATGGGCCTGGAACCCCAGAGAATGAAGGAAAGTCCACTTGCTATATGCCCTGCCTTGTATGACTGCTGCCATCGCTACTGCTCCTAGGGGGACCTTGAGAGAGATCTCAGGGATGGGAACTTCTCCCAGCCCGAGGTTGAGCCTATGAAGAGTGCAGGGCATTCAGTAGAGGGTGTCCCTGTGCTCTTGGGGATGGTCAGCTGCTTGGCATGAGAGCTCACTCCCGAATGCAGTTCCATGGGCCAACGGCCCAAAGGAAAGACACTCATCTGGATCTTGCTGAAACATGGAATGATTTTGCTTAAGCCCAGCCCTTGGCTTTGCCCACGCCTTCCTGATGCCGTGGCTCCCAGTTCCCAAGAAAGTGGCTGGATGCGACCAAGGGAGGTGTGGGCAGAGATGGAGCTACGGTGGCTGGCTCACAGAGGGGAGAGCTCTTCAACCAGGCACAAGGCCAAGTTGCTGAGAGCTCCTTGGAGAGGAGATGCGGAAGATGCCCCATTGTCGGCAAATCTCCCACCAGGGCTAGGAATAGTTCAGGATTTAACAGGTTGGAAATTGAACAGCCGGGAGGGCTGTGGTCATTCTCATTTATTATGAGTGCATCGGGGGACTTCTTCAAGCATGGAGACAAATTTGTCAAAATGACGATTGTGCTTGAAATCTACTGAAGGGTATGGGATTTGGGTTCTGAAGTTCAGGATTTGAGCTTATTTCTAGGGTGACCGATGGTCCTGGTTCGCCCGGAACTGAGGGTTTCACTGGACTTTCAGTGTTAAAATCAGAGAAGTCCTGGGCAAACTGAGATGAGTGGGTCGCTCTCTTTAGACTCCATTCTAGCAGTGATCCCCTCAAATTTTCCAAATCTCCTTTTCCACATGTATAAGAACCAAGATACTGGTAAGACTTACTGTACTTACTTCGCAAACTGGTGGGAGTCAAAAAGAACTAACGAATGTTGTCCACCGCACCTTGAACCTCCCTGATTACAGTACATCTACTGCCAGACAGGCATCTGCAGACCTCTCTTCCTTCTCAGTTTGAGCTCTTTGGGTGGGGGAGGGTCGAGACCACCTTATTCATCTCTGGATCCACAGGGCTTTGGCCAGTGATTGGCAAAGAGAAGATGCTTGGGAAATTTGTGCTAAATTGATGGTTCTTTGTAAAGCAAATCACAGAGTGTCCTCATTGGTTAGTTGGCACTTTCATTTTCTGCCTGTGCTGCTTAGCTCCATGAGAAAGTCCTCTATAGGTTCAGACAGACAAATGTTGCCCCAAGGGTAGCTGTCAGGAAGACACAGCGGGCAATGGGGGCAGGAGACATGGGCATTGCCTTGTTTTGGGCAAGGTGGGGGCCAGAGAGAGAACAAGACAAAAGGTAAATAGGAGGTGAGCGATGCCAGGGGTGCCCTCATGGGGAGATGAGGAAATAACAGTTTCCTACCATGGGGAGGAGATGGACTTTAACTGGGATCTTAAGTGGGCCAACTCTGTCTTCTGGCTTCTCAGGCTCCAACACCGAGCTGGGCTTTACCTGCATTCTGAGGACCAGGGCTTGCCCTTGGCCACCTGCCTCCCTGACTCTCCCCAGGGCCAGTGACCTCTCAGGAGGGCCTTTTTTGGGCGTCAACCAGAACTTAGCATGCTGAGCTGCCCCTCTGGCCTGGGCACAGCCCAACTGGGCAGGGTGATACCTTGTGGGCAGTCTGCCCCAAATCTCATACTCTATGTTCCCCTTATCCTTTGCCTCTCTCATCCCAGCCCTAGGTCTGCTTCTCTGCTTCTAGGCTCCTAGAGACATAGGGTTCTGGCTCTGCTTGACTGCCCAGGGTTCTAGCCTCAGTCTTAGCCCGCCGAGCCTCTGTCTCAGCTAACTTCCCTGTTGAGCAAACCCTGTAGCTCTGGGGATCATTTGGAGCCAGCCAGAGCATGATGGGGAGAAGCCTGACCCAGAGGCAGCTGGGGTTCAGGAAAGCCCTTCTCCAGCCCTTGCCAGCCTGCACTGAGGCTCCATCACACATACCCTCCAAATCTTTGTGGATCTTGTTTTATTCTCTTGCTGGCACATCCTTCCTAGGGCCCAGGAGTGCTGGGAACACAGACACAGCCCCCATCACCAGAGGATCCTAGAACTCTGAAGTAGAAGAAATCCCAAAGGTGATCCTTGCCTTCAGGTAGGTTAGATAGTATTGTTCACAATTCATGGGTCAGGGCAGTTAAGCTCAGAGAAGGCAAGTAACTGCTCCAAGATCACACAGTAAAAGAAGGATCAATTGCTCCTCAGCCACCTACCTGAACTCTCCTTTTTCCGTCTGGTTGACTTCTTCTCCGTCTCATTGGCAGTGCTCCCAAGGACCTCGTAGTCCTCGCCTGGGCCTCCAGTGTTGTCCACCAGGCTTGGGCTGCTGGCCCCCATCTCCCTGGAGCCCCCAGCTGGGCCTGGGTTGAGCCTGCGCCGGGTCTCAGAGACAGGGAAATGCCAGTCAGGGGGCTGTGGGAAGGCAGGGTGCTGCTCAGTGAAGACGCGCTCCTCCTGGGGAAGGCTGTGCGGGGTGGCCGCCAAGCAGGAGGCTGAGAAGTCGGGGTATGCTGCTGTCGCCGGGAAGTCTGGTTTCTGGTGGAAGGAGAACGGGGTTGGCGGATAGTGGGGTAGCCCTGAGGCCCCACTGCCTTCGGAGTGGGGATTTCGAAGGCAGCCCCAGACAGGGGTTGGGGGGTGGGGGCTCCTCATGCAGCTGCTGGCCACAGGATCCATCTGCCGTCTGCTGCACGCCTCAGTCTTTCAAAGGTTTGATTCTTACACTTTATATATTCAAATTTTTAAAAATGCAAAAAAAAAAATTAAATAGGAGGGAAAAATGTTCAATAGAAAGTTCACCCCAGGAACCAAAACAAAAACCAAAACTAAAGTTGCTTTTTCAAGTCCGCGCACATGTGTCCAGCTACACGTATATGTATGCACACACCTCTGTCGGACTTCACTCCTGGCTTCCTGCTCCCCGACACACCAGCCTGCCTATTGGGGTCCCCTGTACATGTATTTGTCGCCGATGACACTGAACATTTTCACTGTCCCAGCCCTGAAGCACCAGCTGATGGAGTGCTCGTCCTGGAGCCCACAGCAAATGCCTGCAGAGGGCTGGACCAGGGCTGCTGAGACACACTTTTAAATGCTGCGGTGGGGAGAGAGTGACAAATTTCTGAAGTGAAATGTGAGAGAGGAGAGGGAGGGGTTAACCCGCACCCACACGATCCCCTCCAACCAAAACCCGAGCAGGCAACTATTAATCATCGGAAACCTTATATGCACATCTAATGGGATTTGCAGATGGAGACTTTTAAAGAAACATTGTCTGTATTTTTTTTTTAAGGAGAGAGAGAAGCACACACACACACAACTTCTTTAATGTGCCTCCTGTAACACTATGAAGTTATTTTATTGCACTGTTAACAAAATTCCCCAAGTCTTGGATTTGGAAAAAGCCTTAAGTCAGATCCAGAATCCATCAAGTGCCAAATTCCAGGGAGTGAAGCAGGGAATAAGTGCAAGAGACAAGTTTGCTGATTGCATTTGATTTAAAGGCCCTTCTCCTGCTGCTTGCAAAAAGGAAGGTGGATTAAAAGAAATCTTTTTTTGCAAGTCTCAGCGGCCCACTAGGGTCTGTGGTATAAAGAAAGACATAGCCCAGAAAAAAATTTTTTCTCTCTGCCCAAAGTGACATTCTCACTTTCTCAGTAACTTAAAAAAACAATCAGATTCTTCCTTCCGCTCTTTAACCCCCAACTTAATGCCAATTAGCCACACTCTTCTCTAGAGGGGTTTCAAGTCATTTTTCTCCATGGCAAAGGAAAGGCTCTTTAGATAAAGTCCTTGAAGTTTCTCCAGGCTTCCCCCACCTGCTCCCTGGCCTCTTAACCTTCACCCACCTGCTTCCCCCTCCTCACTCCCAGAGGCCAAGGCTTCCATGGACTCTGGGGCGCAGAAATAGAATCAGGGATATTCTCATTCCCAAAGGAGTTCTCTTTGGCAAACAGTCCCATGGTTTTCCTGGCTGGTGCCAATCACAGGCGGGCCGATTGCCATTTTAACCAGTCAGACCAGTCTTCTTCATCCCCATGGCCTTGCTGGTCTCTCTGGAGGGTTAATGTAACTTCTTGGAGGATGACGTTCCAAGCCCACGAGCCCAGAGCTCCTTTCCCACTGAATATTTCGACGATATATTCGAAATGGCAGGATTGAGGCTGAAATGGGCACAGACCATAACAGTGATGCCTTTGCAGGCTGGTTTCAAAGGAGGAGGGGTCTTAGCTCTGTAGCCTGGAGGCTGCGTATATGCTCTTCATGAAACAGGCATTTTGTCTTCTGGAATAGGCATTGTAGGCCACGAGAGGAGATGGGGCCATAGCCACAAACTAGACTCATTTCTTTGCTTTGTCTGGGACTTAGCTGTTGCATATACATTTCTCCTCTGAACCTCACCACTCTCCCATTACGGGTAAAGTAAGAATTGTGTTCTACATTTTACAAGTGAGGAAAATGAGGCTCAGACAAGTGACATGGGCTGCTCAGGCTCACACAGCTAAGAAATGGCAGAACCAGGAGTTGGCCTCAGGTGTCTGGAGCAGCTTGGACTGAGGCATGGACTTTGGGCTTAAATATATGTGAGTTCAAATCCTAGGTCTGCCACTTTCTGGCTGTGTGTCCTGGGAAGAGACAGCTCACCTCTCTGAGCTTCTCTGTTCTCTCATCTAGGATGATAGTCTACTCATCCACTGATGATAGTGGACATTCATCCACTGATTTTAGCACCTCACATATATTCCCCCCAGTGGATCCCCACAAAAACCCTCTGAGGCAAGTGTTTTTCTCATCATCTCCATTTTTCAGAAGAGGACTCTGAAGCACAAGGTCACATAGCTGGGAAATGAAGGATCCTGAATTCAAATCCAGGCAGCCTGGCCCCACTGCATCAGAATGCCTACTGCACAGACATTTGAAATTTTTAAATGAATCATTTATGTGAATTGTGAAGTAGGTAACAGATAAATGAGGCTCGCTTCCTAGCCTATCTCATTCTTAATTCAATGATTCCAAAGGGAGACTGTAGGACAGGGGGTCACTGAGGAAATTCTACAGAAACTGTTGAGAGGTCCCTTGAGAGGATCCAGGTTGTGGGAGCTCTAGAAGGAGTCTCTCAGATATTCTGGGAGGAATATCTGGTCTGTCAGCTTCTCTAGGAAAACCTTCCCGGGGCCTGGCCCCGCAGGCCGTAACCAGATTCCTGCCCCGGCCTTCGCATCTGGCCCAGGGACCCCATCCCAGGAAGACCCAGCCGCCTGGCCCTTTGCCCCTGGAAGGGGTGGGCCCTGGGTCATGGTGGGGTGGGTGGAGAGGTCAGGAGGGGCAACAGGGAGGGGGCGCAGCAGGGGTGCTCTGTGCAGGGTCCTGGCACCCTGGCGCCCACACAGCTGCCAGTGTCTGTCAGCTACCCCGCAGGGCGCGGCTGGGGGCCCTGTTGGCCTCTACATCTTCCTGACAGGCCTCTCTTCTGAGGCCAGGAAAAAACAACAACAGTTCCTCCCCTCTCGGCAACCCATTTGTTAGATGAAGGCCGGGCACCAGCACCTTTAACCTCCTCAAAGTCAGCATTTCCCTGTCAAGGCCCCGCAGGCCCACGAGACAGAGATGGATGGAAGTGACTGTTTGTGGAAAAAAGGCCCAGCCTTGAGGCTGGGCAGCCAAGAAGAGCAGGGTTTTCAGGAAGGGAGGGGCTCCGGTTTCTGGTTGTTGTTGGGAGTGGTAGGGGGAGGAAAAGGAAAAGCGTCTGTTAGGAGGAGGGTTCTTGAGGGCCCTTGAGGAGGGCCACACCTGAGCCATCCCAAAGAACTTTTGGAATTTCCCCCATTATGCACGACAAACAGGCGTGTCCATGGCGCCACAGACCCGCTTCTGTGCTTGGCCACCCCGCCCACCTGTGCCTGGAGTTGCAGGGTGTCCAAGGGAGAACCTGGGGCCTATAGGCAGAAGACTTGAGTTCAAGGTGTGGTCTCAGACAACTTATACCCCTTTTCTGAGCCTCAGTTTTCTCACTGGCAAAATGGAGATGACGGTACCAGCCTCATAAGGCTGTCTTGAGGGTAAATGAACTGATGTCAGTGAAAAGCGTTGGCTGACTATAAACGGTGATGCATGTGGAGAATTACTATGCCTTCTCTTTCTTTATTCTGCGGGACCACAGAACACGTCGCATCTCAATGCAGGATGAAGATGGCCCATCCAAGTCCCCCAATACCTTTTCCTATGGCAACGTATCAGAAGGTCAAGATCATGGCCTTGGGAACAAGGAGGGCATGGGTTCAAATCCCAGCTTTGCCGCTCATAAGTTGAATGGCCTTAAGCAACTCACTTGATCTCTTGAACCTCAGTTTCCTCATTTGTAAAAAGGGAGTAAGCTTTTTCTTCTTTTCCCATTAGGTTGCTGAGAGAAGTAAGTGAGGTGAATTGGGAAAGCTCTCGCCATAACCTGGTGTACAGTTTTTAGTGGTAATAGCTGGATAACGATGAAGAAGAAAATACCTGTGATTTTCTCCTTAAGAACAGTTCCAGAAGGCCCTGTGAAATACTGATATGCCACCTAAGAAATATAGTGAAACCATTAGCATTCACTCACATGGCAGACAGAACACGTGAACTGGAGCAAGACCTCGGGGGATGGACAGGAGACAGACAAGCTTTGAATACGATGGAACTCACACCGGATTAGGATATTTATCACTGGGTCTGGCATTTATTTAGAATGTGTATGTCCTTTGTTCCTCAGAAGACTTTATGGCAGCAGAGTCACTACTACCCTATAGGACTTTGTGAGGCTCAAATAATAGGATGGACAGGACAAAGTTGAGCAAACCACAGAATACAGGCCCCCTACTGTCGCAGATGCCCCTGGGAAGCTTGCAAGGTGGGGCCAAGATATTCCACCCCAGGGAACCAGTGATGGAGTCTTTCCTTAAACCCCAGAAAACTGCTGAGTTCATAGAGACAGTTTCCTCAGGTGAATGTTTTCTCTCATGAATGTATTTTTTAAACATTTGGTGCTGGCCATACCTTATCTGCTACTAAGCTTGTGGGCAGATGACTGAAAAACACAGTACACAGAGGGGCCTGCATCGAAACCCTGGCTCTTGGAGGTCATGTGAACTCATTTTTCTCAACTGAAAAGTGGAGGCTTGCTGTGTAGACGATACACATACACTCAGGAGGGGCTCAGTAAACATGCCCTTTTTAGGGCTTCTGTGCCTGAAGGAGTTAGAGGCAGTGCTGAACTAAAGGAAAGGCTCTAAGTTAGGGCAGCCAGATAAAACACAGGGAGCCCAGTTAAGTATGCTCCATGCGATATTTGGGACATACGCTAAAAAGTTATTTGTGGTTTATCTGAAATACAGGCTCAGGCCTTACCTTCTTAGCCAGGATATTTGCACTTTGACAGAGGCCTCTGGAAGGAAGCTCTAAATGAAGCATTCCAGGGGGAGGTGTGGTAGTTGGGTAGGTTTGCCCTTGGCTGTGGGCTTTCTGGTTGAGGGAGGAGCCCAGGGTCCCCCAGGAAGGTCTCCTGTGGAGGCTTTTTGAGTGAAACAAAGCAGAAGGGAGGAGGAAGGGCATCCAGGTGAAGAGAGTGAGGACAAAGGTGAGTGCCCCTGAGCAGGAAGTGCTGAAAGAGAAGGAGGGAGGCCACCAGTGAAGGCTGGGCAGGGCGCCAGCCTGGGAGACTCCTGGTCACCCACTTCCCGGGGGCACACTTTTGCAGCCCTTGCTTGCAAGGCAGCAGTGCCATTATTTGCCATTATTTTGGGGGAAACCAGCTAACCAGATAGGACAGCAAACTGGGGATTTATGTGGTGTGGGAACAGCTCGGGTTTCCCTCACTGTTTATCCAGCAGTATTTTTTAAAACAGAAATCAGCGTGCGGGTAACCACAGCTGTGAGTTACTGGCTCTGGCTGCAAGGGCTGTGGAGTGGGAGGGGTGAGGGGATGGGGGTGTCTCCTGCACAGTGTTTTGCTCTGCATCAGCTTGGAAGTTGCTGAAGGAATGCACCCCTCCCCAAACAGGGTCCAGGTAGAAAGGGTGGCCCTGGGCAGGTCCTAGGTCACTCTCTCTCCCCTAGGAGGG